TGCAAGTTTTTGCCTCTAGCCGCCAGCTACATGGTGGTTAAGTTGATTTCACGGGGAAACAAATTCTTGTATCCATTTCAAAGTTTTACATTATTTCAAGGAGTTAAACGAAAAGTAGGTAAACAGTAATTCGCCATGCAGTTGAGGTTGCGAGAATATTGTCGTTCTTTTAAAACTACAGTGGAGAACAGTTAGACACCAGATTATTCTTTATAGAATGGAAAAAACCTGGAACAGTAACCCCGAAAATATTAAAGGCTTGCATTAAACATATTATCCTGTAATAATTGTCTATCAATGGTAGTAAGGTTTACATCGGCTGCTTAGGAACAAAGATGAGCACGAGTTGCATTGTTGTGATAGTCCATTGGCTGTTTTACTAAATTTAAATAAATAACACGGATAAGTGTGTAATGTTTTTAGTCAAATCACGAATTTTCTATCGAAATGCAAACACAATTATCTATGACTAACTACATTTTACATACTAACTTAACTGGGTGATTCTTTTTATATGAATATGGCAAAGGTAAAATATAATATTTGTTAAAATTACTTAGAACACGGTGATTTTTGCTGTAAACAAGCTGCAACACGCAAAACAACGGATTACTGCACTTTTCCACTTTGTAGCACTTATTTACTTTGTCAAAATCCAGATTTTAAACCAAAAACCACAAAATAGTGAGCAAGTTAAAGCCAGGCCAGATTGTGCACACGTGATAGAGTAATAGGTTGGCAACAATGGCGGTTATTGAAAATCAGCTGTTACATTGAGTTACTATTTAGGTTTTCAATCCAACAATTACTTCGACTTCCCACAATAAATGAGGGATATCAGAATATTTATAAATGACCCAAATAAATCCATACGATGATCTTTGTGAAACTAAGAACATCAAGAGTTCACGAAAACGGTCAAAAAACTTTCCCAGACCCTTCTGCCAGAAAATAATTACCAACACTTTTAGGCCTACGAACTATATTATTCTTGGCACGTAAATACCTTAAAACAGTTTCCATTATGTTTCGCGGTATGTGTAAGAAAAAATTTAAAGTAGGCCTAAAAGTATTTTTTTCAAACACATCAAAATGTCACTACTTCGCACGCACACTAGGTACGGTACACAAACAATGCCACTAACGCAATAACGAGATTTTTGCGCTAATAAAAATGTTAACTAAATATAAGGCGAGGAGTGAATTTTTTATCTCTAAAGTGAGTCATTAAAAGATACTAGTTTTTTGTTTTATCTTTTACAAATCCCTAATCCCCAACAGCAGCGGTTGACAAGCATTAGTCCTAAGCTGACAGGCAAGGCTGTGCGTGAAATATCAGTGTTGACATAGTTCGAAGAGAAAACCTCGAAATGGTCAAGTAAAACAAAACCAAACATGAGAATATTTTTTTTCAAGGTTCAAACATACTTTTAATACACTTCCCCTTAGGTTTTAATCATTTATGGATCAGCTAGCTGGGCGAGACAGCATGTTTATAGAGAGCGATGATCTAACTCATCTTTATTTATAGTTCATTTTACTTGCCTACTAATTACTACTATTTACGATAATTTGAAAACTATTGCTTGTCTTCTGCTATGGTAACAAGGCAAAGGGTGTAAATAAGAGAGAAACTTTGGTCGCCAAACGTTGTCGAGCATGTAGATGCTTCAAACTTTGAAATAAGAACAACAGGTCTACTTGCAGTATCCATTGTCAATGGTGAAACTTACTCGAGTCTCGAGATAGAAAATTTTAAAAGGCTGATAGTACATTATTCACAACACTAGAAATATGATCCTCTTACATTCATATACTTAAAAACGAAATATGAACAGGTTGAGTTTTCTGCAAAGATCACGTTATCACAATCAGAATTTAAGTAGTTTCAAGAGGAATACGCACGCAAAAGTGCAACTTTTCTCCAAACATTGACCCAAAGCTGACGTTTACTTGACGTTCTATGAGGCTTTTCGTAGCAATTTCCCTCGCCTTACCAAACCAAACCTCCTACTTCAGAACTCTCTCTTCGCCAACGCAGCGTCTAGGGTGGCTGAGTCACCTCCGAGGTAGGAAAATGATTTCTACTGACGAATTCACTGTGTTGCCGTGTTCTAAACGTGAGTTGTTATAGTGCTCGCCGTCAAATCTGAGGGCCACTGGTTCGATTCCAAGCGAGAATGTTACCAGACCCAGATGCCAATTAATTGCCATTGGTGCGGCCAATTATGATTTCTAACAACAGATCGATGTTAGATAATAACAAAACCATGGTATGACCGTTCCCTTACACAATCTTCAGTGTAATTTAATGAATGTCTCTGTCGTAGATAGACACAATAACAAAATGTATGAAAATAGAAATATGATACGTAAAAATTATTTGTACCAGAGCCAAACACATTTTTTACCAAAACCTATTTGAGCCCGGAAATTAACTCCGTTGACTTATATGGCCCGAAAACAGAAATAACAAACTGGCTGCTTCCTTTTAAGAACATTGACTTTTTAAATATACTCAAGATAACTTTGGTAATGTTGAACATCAACTGATTGAAGTACTATGATAGTTAAGTTGCCTATCAATTGTTGGTAACATTGTTATGTATAATTACTCTGAGGCTTAGGCTAACTTTCAATTATTGTGAACTCGTACACTGTTCTCTAAATAGTTGTTTATTATCTAAATTGTAATGGCAATATACAATTTTAGATAACAAATAGGTAATATCAAAACTCAAGGATTACTTAACGTAGATTATAAAGTAACTAAGCAAAGCAATCAATCAATCAAGTGAGTGACTAGGAAAGTGTGTAAGTAACGAAAAACAGTATACTAATACAGTGTTATCTAATATTGCATATATAAAATGAAATTCTATAAATAAAGTTGAATAAAATGAGTACGTTTTGTGGACAAGTAAGTAGGTAAGTAAGAAAGTAAACGAAGTTGAAGAAATAACAACCAATGGACAGGTCACATTTTAAAAACCCTCTAAAAATCTAAATTACATCAACATGAAAGATTGGCATTCCCTCAATGCCGGGACTTCCGGGCGCCCAAAATTGCGTAGGCAAAACTGGTGCTGAAGCGGCGCGTGGGCTTTTGAGCCCCCCCCCCCTAGACTGATGCCCCAACACGAGGTCATTTATTGTCAGCTTTTATTGCAGACTTTTATGGTGTTTTTAGTGGTCCTAAAATCGCATTTGTCGATGCATTTCCTAATCGATCTCTAACTGTTTAAATTTAGAACCCGTAACTATATTCTACAGTTAGTTATAGGTGCGTATTTTACGCTTGTGATTGCAAGATGATTGTTTAATGTAGTGAGGAAATCTGTATACCGTTGTTACAGACTGACCAGCTGTTTATGTAGGATATTCATTGAAATGCCAGTGATCACAGACAGCTTTTCCCACTTGCCATTATATATCCCAAGATGTATATCCCAAGATATATTTCTAACGATTTCCTAGAAAATGTTTGTTTCAAAAAGTTATGAACAATGTTATTATAGTAAATATCAGTTTTAAAAAATATATCGCTTAATTATACTATATAATTGAGTATGTAAGTTTGTTACTAGTAGAAATTCAGTGACAGATATGGGTTTAAGCAGTTCGGTTGGTAATTTAATATGGCTGAAATAAGCATTATTTAATCTTAAGAAATGGCATCGTACAGTTGTAAAATAAATTGTATACACCTATATCCTATCCTACTATAATACGAGTACAGTCTGTTTGTCCGTCTGTAATATCTTGAAATCCAGCGGAAAGATTTAAAATAAATATTAAAATTAAGGAATTACTAATTAGGAATTATTGATGACAGCCAAGACCTCAGGAGAATTCGTATTTTGCTACACAATTCATTTGAAAATTTAAGATTTAATATTGTGCTTATGGGTTTATGTTGGTTAAACAAACACAACATAATTTCATGAACAAAATAACAAGTAAAAATTGGACACAAAAGGCTTGTAACATCAACATTGTGTTTATAACAAGCCATTTAGCTATCCACAGAATACTAGCAAAAAAATTATAAAATACAGTATATAGTGATAAACATCAGTTGTAACTACTGAGCTAAAATTACACTGAAGATTACTCGAAATAGGGGAAACTAGAGCAAGTCAGTGTTGATGAGCAATGGGCGTTTTGGGGTGGTGCCGTTTGAGTGTACTGGCGCCAACGGTCAATTCAGTGTTCGAATTTATGGGTAGATTTTAAAATTGTTGTGCTCTCTTTTTGTATTTTACATAATTTGGAGAGCTGTATTCATAATAAATTGAAATTCCACTGGAACTTAAATAATAAAAGCCAAAACTAGTTGTAAAAAACGTGAAATTCCTTTATATTTCTTTTAAAATTCAAATAAACTATACCGAGCCTTGGCTAGGTCCCCCGGTACTTTTATTTACAAAGGCAAATGCTAAATCATGCTTTTAATACAAAATAAAAACCAAACGTTTAAAGGGGGCATTGGGATAAATGTTTACATATTTCTGATCTAGACTTTTTTAAACATCTCATATTACCGGTATACAAACTGAGTTTTTGTTATTTTACTTTGGAATACAAAAAAAAAATATAACAAATGCTTAAATCTGGCTAAAAACCCTGTGGATTGATAATATGCTTTCGACGTTTGAAAACATTATCAACTACTTTTTAACTAAATTTTACGGTTCGTTTGTATGTCACAAAATTGTAGAAAAAGAATAGTAAGAACTAAGAAGCCGGGGGTGTAAAACCACAAACCTAGAACCTAGATTATTTCTGCAATTCTATGAAAGAAAACATAAGTTGTCAATCAAAATACCAACGTTATCGCAGTAGTGAATAATTTAATGAATATACTAGGAAGGAATACATCGGGTTTTTCTTCAACACAAATCGTCGAAACCGTTACTGGTTGGCAGATAGGTTATGAAAAGGTTAGTAAATTGTAAACATTCTGTGGTGTTATTCAGACAACAATGAACGGTGCCTACCGTTTCAACAGTAATCAGCTGATCCGTCTTCGTTCACTATCAAGAAAGCACTGCCGCCACCACAACCGCTACACTGCGCCCCCGCCACAGCGACGGAACCGGCAACAGCGCTACCAACATAACCACACTGGCAACAATCAACAATGCTGCAAACATGTCGCTGGAATATTTGTGCATCTTTGTTAAAAGACTTCGTAACAATTGTCAAAATACAAAATACCCCCGCCGCAGCAAACCTGCAGACTAAGCGAATTTGGATTAGCCTGATTATAATTTTCACTTAAATCTATTTTAAATAACATTAGGTTTAACGAGTACCTAGGTTTGCTGCTTATTAAGGTAGATCTACTGTAGTTGTGTTTTTTAGTATAACATGCCTACCAATAGTTGTAACCTTGCTTTGCAACGGAAAGACTGAAGAGGACACGAAATAGAAACATTTTGATATTTACACCTTTTGAATAACGTAGTTACACATCCACCAACGCTTTTAGAATGTTAAAAGCGTTCTGAATTTGAAAATTGAATTTTAGAAACAAAATTCAAACTGTATGGCCCTTATGGAAACGTTTGTGTGCATTTTATATTAGAAAATTTATTTTTTTGTTTATTACTCAAATACTAAAAGAAATAGACAGTATGTGTAAATTGGAAAGTTGTTCATCTTTAAAGGCTTAAAATGATATGCTATTTGACATATGTTGCCATTTGATTTTTTTATTTACAGAGCTACCAACATTAATAAAAATAAAATGTTGTTAAAAATTTATCATTTTGAAAATTATTACATGTAACACATCTTTGTAAAGCTGTGTTTGCCACGATTACGAATTTTCAATCAGAACGGAAAAATGTTTAGCGGTTTCAAAAATACAGGGTAATGTCAATAAGCGGATAATGCACAAACATTGTCCCAATTTTGAAAAGAATTGAGATAATTGAGTTCTGTTTTCCACAAAATGTTGCTCTAAGCAAGGCCTTTCTAAAAATGTACAATGTGATATTGGTTATAATAAGGAAATTTCAAGATTAAAACTCATGACCTTCATTTCTGGAACACCCTGTGCTTGGATCATGTTCTAAGTAGGCCTAGGCCTATTTAAAATGGATAATCTGTTTGTGATTTAAAGGGGAATAATTATTCCCCCAATAATACAATACAATATTTCACGTTTCTAGGTGAAAACGTACTCGACCGTAAAAGTATGTGCACAGGTAATCTGATTCACCCTGTTGTGTCCGTCGGAGCAAAAATGATCCGATTTCGATGAAAATTGTTACAAACATGTAAACCTACATTTATTTGAACGAGTTCGCAAACCAGCGTGCTTGGACTATGGAAACAGGGTTTAATGGGGGAATTTAAGGGATAAAATTGATTTTTCTCATTTTTGACCCTCAAAGCACAACATTTCTTAAGTTTCCCAATTTTCTATCCAAACCATTTTGAACAGCTTAAAAACCCAATAATTAAGTACCTAGAAGTGTTTTTGAACAGTTATTGGTTACGGAGAAAATTACAAAAGATTTTGATTTGTAAATTTAAAATTCCCTTATTATTCTGATGGAGAATAAGCAAACTGTTGTAGTTTGCTTGTTTATGAATAGGCCTATATTTTTATCAAACTTGGCAAATTTATTAATTTTTACTAAATTATTGCTTGTAAGTTTGTATTTTCTAAAAAACTCACTTTATAACCCTCACTGTGATAGCAAACCTATGTAGGCTACTCGTTAAATTTAAAGCTATTGAAATGGATTAAATTGAAAATCAAATCAGGCAAATGGAAATTCGCTTAGTCTGCAGGTTTGCTGAGGCGGGGATTTTCAAAAATTGTAATTGTTATTTTCCTATAAAATGTGTTTACCAATTAACTTGTTAAATATTTTTTTACCTTCCACGGCCATGGCCGTGAGCATATCTCAAGGTAAGTTGAGGCAGACTAACACACCAGAGGGTAGAACAGGACAATGAACCTCTGACTAAATCGGTCATGCCTAGCATAGTACACCACAGAGTGGGGAAATGCAATGAATAACTGAAATATAATATTTACAAATAATGTATTCTATGTTACGGTAATAAGAAATAGAAATCTAGGTATAAGCATTGGAACTAAAATAGGAGCACTGGCATTTGCAGATGATGTTGTGTTAGTATCGGAAGATAGAGATGACACGTATTCTAAAACTTGATCAATATGATTAGAAATAAACGATGAAAAGACTTAGTTGGTATATTTTGGCCTGGGGAAACTATGAAGAAACTATTTATTTAAACTAAATCTAACACCACAGAAACAATGGTAAAGAAGCTTTTAGAAGTATTAAACCATAAATTAGTACAAGTTGAAGAGTTCAAATACCTGGGTTCAATAGTTAATTCAACAAGTAATGAATTAATAGAAATTCAAAATAGAATAAATTTGGCAAATAGAAGCATGTATGTATGCATTAAATAACATCTTAAAATCAAAATTACTGTCACATAAAACAAAATTAAGAGTATACAAGACTTTATAAGACCAATCCTGCTTTATGGAGCAGAGACATTGATTATGGAAAAACAGAAAAGAAGTTGGTTTAATTTAAAAAGGAGTTTTGAGAAAAATATTTGGACCTATTAGAGAGGGAGAAGGATGGAGAATTAGGCACAACCATGAAATAAGGTACATGTACAATTTCCCAGACATAGTAGGAGAAGCAAAGAGTAGAAGACTAAGGTGGGATGGCCATGTATTTAGGAGGGAATACGGCAGACTAATAAAAGAACTTTGTAGACAAAACTTAGCAGGAAGAAGACCCCGAGGAAGACCCAAGAATTAATTGTAGGACCGTGTGGAGAAAGATTTGCAAAAATTGAGATCAAGGAAAGAAGATTTAGAGAACAGGGAGAGATGGAGGCAACTCGTTGGCGAGGCCAAATACCACCTAGGGTATCCATGGCCATGGGAGAAAGTAAGTAGCAAGTAACAGTATTGCAAAACAAATATTTTCATCTTGTCCGATGTAAATCGGCCGACATTAAGTACAAAATAATAAGTACGACAAAGCAATAATAAACAGTATTTATTTACAATTACAAAGTTAAACATCACAGATACAGTTTGATAAGTTCGTCACTGACTGCAGAAGGTGTAAGTATCCCTAGATCAGTAAACAGTAGTGTTATCAGTGATGGAGGAGTGTAGTCTACCAGTGGATGTTCCTTGGTTAGGTCTCCTCCTAGGATACTGGACCTGTACTGTAAACATCAATACAAATCAATATCTTCACGCAAACCAAGATATTATGATCCAGGGTTTCAGAGGAAAAAGCCCTTTTCTAAAACAAGATTTTTATTTTATTTTTTGCGTTTTCTAACCAATGACATTTTTTACATTTCGAAAGGGAACGATTCCAAACCCTCGTCTTGTTACTATCCAATAGCAACCTTTTTGCTAAATAGCACCATTAATTCATCGCTTTTAAATTTTAATGTAATTAATACATATTAATTAAAATACATAAGTGATAAAAAAAAATAATGTAAAAACCTTTAATCTGTAAAGTCACCTCACAATATTCATTTTAAGCTAGGCCTATTCTATAAATGTTTCAAGTTAATAAGTTAACAAAGATATACGAATTACAAAAGGTGTTTTATTGAAACAAATGAACAAACATGCAATGAAATTTAAAAGGCTAAGTTACGTTATAATGAAAGGACTGACAATGGAGTGTGGGCTGAAATTAAAATAAAATAGAAGATAAGTTTGAAATAAAGGTTCAAATTTATAATAGTATAATTTAGATGTGCTATATCTCAGGGTAGGGTTTCGTGCTGGCTTGAATGCTAAGAATTATAAATTAAATAGTGTCCAAATAATTAATGTGTTTAACTTACACAATTCCAACAATGAAAATTAAATTTTGAGGTTGTCCAAAAGGTAAGTCTAATGTCACTGAATTTAAAAGAGTTTAAAAGAAAAGTTTATACTTAATTTTGAAAATAATGTTAGAGTTAGTCCTCTTGAGGTTGAATATAATATAACTTGAATATAAACTGGTTTTTCTTGATGATACTAATTAATTTAATTTAGATAACATCTGGACTCGCTTCTTTTAACAGTTTCAACTTCAACTATGGCTTCCCTTCTCCTCCCAATCTCAATGTTCACATAGGTCTATTGTTGAACACATGGATCACTGTTTCACTGCTTCTTGAATTTTGATTCCTTAAGCCGGGTTTTCCTAGGCGCGGAATCGGCGAGCGGAGAGAGGAACGCGGAGAGCGGACTCCACTTGTCTTAGGCAATTTAATGTTACTGTTTTCCTAGAAGCGGAGCGGAATGCCATGTTAATTTCAATTCCGCTCTCCGCGTTCCTCTCTCCGCTCGCCGATTCCGCGCCTAGGAAAACCCAGCTTTAAGGACTAATTTTGAAATGATATTATAAGAAATTTTGATTGCAATTCTCTTACATATTTAATAAACAACTAAGTTGTGGGCGTTGTAAAAAAATATATAGGCTATGGAAATTTTAATTGAACAGATTAATGAAATTGTATAAATTAGGAAAATGAATACTAGGCCAGCCTTTCTGAGGAGTGATTAATAACAAAGGTGTTATATGGTATATCTTCCTTTGGAAGAACGTTTAAATAGTATTAAAATCGTATTGATGGATCTTTTGTAGTTAAACACTTTCGTGATTTCATCAGTGTAATATGATTTTATTTCAAAAGAAAACTTTTTTTGGGAAGACATATTCTAACTTCAAAGGGAGGTATATCCGTTACAGTGTAAGTTTGATTTTTCCTTCGTCACGTCGCGTTAGTTCATATCGTACTTCTGTGCCAATGAATGAACCCTCTAGCATAGTTTTGAGAAATTATTGATTGTGGGGTTACTGTTAAAGCTGGAATTCATTGACATGGGGCATGTCAGTTAGTTGTCTCAGCCTTATAAATAACATAAAGTTGTCAATATAATCTCTCTACGGAATGTTTGATATAGTAGAATACTTGAAGTGAAGTTGGCTTTTATTCTTGTACTGTTAGGGGCCTCCTCGTTTATATGGTCGTGCTGCTTCATAGGCAACAAATAATGCAAATGACATAGCAATGGGACATTTCCAAAAAGCAAAAATACTGTAAATTGGCTGTTACGTATATATTGACGTTTACATATGGTTAATCAACGTATCTTATAAAGAATTATGTGATCTAGTTTAAAAGGAATATGACCTTTCTGTCATGACAGTAGCTGTTTAAAACATATTTTCTCTCTGTACCATCTTTTACAGCCAAAATGTCGTGTTATTTTCAATAATGTTACCAAACCGTGCCAAAGTCCGTAATATAGGCAGGTGCAAATAATTTGTCAAGATGGGTACCATTTTAGACAAAGTTTCTATGTTTGGATTTTATTAGACACGATAAAAGCAGATATTTCTTCATAAATATTTCATATGTGTTGAATAATATGATAAAATGTAGGCAAAAGTGGTGAAAAAGGCAGACACCAACCCGTACAATAGATATAAGATAGTTCAATAAGAAATAATTTAAGAATTACTGTGATAAAAGGATTTTCCACTGCTTACGTAATGGAACGTTATATTGCAAAACATGACATGATAAAGAAGAAAATCAATTTTACAATCAGAAAATAACATTACAAATACTTATTTGGTAGAATTCAGTAACTCCCAATAAATGTGTGTTGTTTGAAATACAATTGAAAAATGAACAGCTGTTTCATTAAAAAGTATTATTCACATGGCCAAAATGTAAACAACTCTGTAAAGGGATCTTTAAAGGCTTCTGGGGCAGAGTCCTAATTGATTTTGATTAGTTTTTCTTTTGATAACTCATCTACAGACCAAGACCTTTCTTTGGACACCTCTACCAAGTTTCTACGCCCAGCCGTTCTCTCAAATAAGGGGGGACAATTAAATATTTAGATTCCCCCATGTTAATCTTATGGGAGAAACTCCAACTTTGATGGCCTGTGGGGCAAAGCCCGAGGATTTTTATTACAGGAATTGGTGAAAGGGGGCGTCTACACAAAAAATACCTTATTTTGACACGTCGTTTGTAAAAATCGGTCCATTATTAACGAAGTAGTGTTTTGTAGAAATCGCCTTCACATATTATATACAAGGACAAGGTATGGCAAACCCGGGCTTCCCGGGCATTGATGACAGCCCGTCACTACCGGGTTAAATAATAATACAGCACATTAAAGACATTGGCCTGGGCGATTTGGCACATCCGGGCTATGATGCCCCAAAAATTACATTTTATGAAACAATAGTTCATAAAGGCTAAAATGCAGGTAGGTAAACCGTTTGTTCGGTTGGCACTTAATTTTAAACTTACACTAAATTAAACATTCTTTATATTCTTTAAAAAAAAGATACAAATATGTATATACATATTATGTAAATAAAAAAGAAAATGAATAACTTCTCCCTATTTACCATTGCTATAATATTTCCCCGTTTGATACATCAAACAACCTATGACTGGAAAAATGGTTTTTCTTTCATAGGGCCACAGACATTAACCCGGGCTAAAATGACAACCCGGGCACTGTACCTAAGCCCGGTTTGCCCGGGCTATGATGACAACCCGTCACCAACAGGCTAAAGACATTAACCCAGGCGATTTGGCAAACCCGGGCTTACCAGGCTATGATGACAGCCCGGGCACTGTACCTGAGCCCGGTTTGCCCGGGCTATTTGGTAAACCCGGGCTTACCGGGCTATGATAATAAACCGGGCTCTGTACCTGAGCCCGGTTTGCCCGGGCTATTTGGCAAACCCGGGCTTACCGGGCTATTTGGCAAACCCGGGCTTACCGGGCTATTTGGCAAACCCGGGCTTACCGGGCTATGATGACAGCCCGGGCTCTGTAACTGAGCCCGGTTTGCCCGGTTTATTTGGCAAACCCGGGCTTACCGGGCTATGATGACAGCCTGGGCACTGTACCTGAGCCCGCTTAAATATCGGCAGGGAGCAATCAGAAGGATTACTCAAATCGTTGTACTCATAAATTTCTGCAGTTTTATGCGTCACCAAATCACTTTTTTTCCTTCATTGCTAAATACCACTTACAATCACTAAATTTGAGTTTTGGATGTTTCAATGCAATTAGGTTTTTTTTTTCTCTCTTGATCTTGTTAATATTTTTTTATTTACTATCATCATTAAGTGTCTAAGTACTCCTGAATGTTTATGGACATGTGTATAGCTGTATTAGCAACTCAGTACCTAGGGACGGAGCTTTGCTCGGGAAAATCATTAGTTTGCTCTGAAAGCAGTCTTAGTATTGCAGATACATAAATCCATTCTTAAACTCCACACTGCTCACCTTTACTACTTCCTTCAGCACTTCCTACGTCGTGGACCTGTTTCCCTCCCTTCCCATTGCATGTTTAGGATTGCAGATACATTAATGTAATTGCCACAGACAGTTCCCACGCTCAGCAATGCTAGCCTTTATACTTTCTTCACCACTTCCTACAAAGCGGACCTGTTTTCCTCCCTTCCCATAGCATTTGAGGATTGGAAATACCTTAATCTAATCGTCATAAACAGTTACCACACTCCGGCCAGATCGCCTTGACTACTTCCTTTACCACTTCCTACGTCGCGGACCTGTTTCTTCCCTCCCCATAGCATTTTAGGATTGCAAATACCTTAATCTAATCGTCATAAACAGTTCCCACACTCCGAACTACTCGCCTTGACTACTTCTTTCACCACTTACTACTTCGCGGACCTGTTTTCCTCCCTTCCCATAGCATTTTAGGATTGTCAATACCCTTATCTAATCGTCACACACCGTTCCCACACTCCGGACTATTCGCCTTGACTACTTCCTTCACCACTTCCTACGTCGCGGACCTGTTTCCCTCCCTTCCCATAACATTTTAGTATTGCCAATATCCTTGTCTAATCGTCATAAACAGTTTCCACACTCCGGACTACTCGCCTTGACTACTTCCTTCACCACTTCCTACGTCACGGACCTGTTTCCCTCCCTTCCCATAGCATTTTAGGATTATAGATACCCTAATCTTATTGTCATAAACAGTTCCCACACTCCGGACTGCTCGCCTTTACTACTTCCTTTTTCACTTCCTACGTCACGGACCTGTTTCCCTCCCTTCCCATAGCATTTTATGATTGCAAATACCTTAATCTAATTGTCATAAACAGATCCAACACTACGGACAACTTCCTTCACCTCTTCCT